TACTGGTACCAGGCTAGTTGAGAAGAGTAGGGTCGTAGATGTGCAAGACCACCATGTCTAACAGTGTATTCTATCCAATCAGCTGCCTCCTGTGCTGGGCTACGAGGGCGGTCACTAAGCAGACCAGAAATTCGCTGAGAGTTTTCTTTGAAACTGAAAAAAGTTGAAAAAGTTGGTCAAATATTCAGATTATCTATTGAAAACGAAAAGAAAGTAGTTACCTTGGTTGTTGGATGACTCGTTGTATAGTGTTGTAAATAGCATCTATCGTTAGCGTTTCGTAGTCTAAACTCAGACCCAGGCCTTTCTCTACCAACAGCCCTGCATTATCGAACTGATCTCCAAATAATGGTAAAGCCACCACAGGAACTCCACGATATGCTGCTTCGTATAGACTATTAAGACCACAATGAGAGACAAAGACTCGTATCTTTGGGTGAGCCAGCAAGTCATTCTGGGGCAGCCAATCAACGGGCTTTATGTTAGGACTGAGGGATGATGGGATATAACCTGCAACAACGATTAAATACCGCTATGCATCACGGGTAAAACTTGATTAAGGTGGTTTGTAGCGCTCGCCTCTCACCAATGCGACCCGTGTTCAAACCTCGTCGTATGTGAGTCGAGCTGTTTATTGGTTCTCTCCTGCGCTTCGAGGGTTTTTCTCTGCTGAGTTCTCCTGTTTTCCTCCCTCCTCAAAAATCCACTTCTAAATTCTAATTCGATCTAGAAAGCGCGCATGTGAGCATATGCAATATATTAAAATATGCACGTTACAAATATATTTTATTTTTTACTTTAGCAATGCACCCTGGTTAAGACATTCCTACCTTGTAGTCTCCAGACAACTTTCYGTTTTAATCGTCCAAAAGCTTCAGCCATAATGTCTACTTTATCCTTGTCCAACACTGAAGCCACGTTCGATCCAAAAGACACAATAATGAAACCGTCGTCACCAGAACTGTCAATCAACTGCTGGAGATCAGGGGAGAGGCGTTCGACGGGCTGGATATTCAATGCACCAATCATCTTTTGATTTGGAAGAATTGGATGTGGGTAGTCTAATGCAAAATCCCCAAGGTATAGAGTCAATTCTTTGTCTGCCATAGACTCCAGGTAACCTCTATGCATTTTGATATTGTATTTCTGTTTTAGTTGGTCAAAACGCCTCACTAAAAAGAAGTGAACACCTAGACAGCTAACCATGAAGACTAGAGAGTTCTTAGTTCGCTGGAGGAAGTTCATCTTGGTAGGATTTCGGGACATGACTTGTGGGACGTACGAAAGAGTAAAAAGCGAATGATAAGGCGTAAACAGGGAGACCAGTCTAGGAGGCGTAGGGCAGTATTCAACTCTCCTGATATTTAAATAATCAGCAATAATCGGACCACAGAACATCGATGTGTCTGTTATGATGACGTCAAAATTCTTGAGAGAGTTAAGGCGTTTAGTGTCGTTTAGCAAGGCTTCACAAAATATTTGTACCATGGCAGGCATACTGGTGTTGGAACTTGTAAAGATTGTTTTCACAGTTCCTTCCTTGATGATCTTGCTCGCCATACTCTTTTCCAGGAACCCTTCCTGGAAAGGAACCTTGTAGACAGAGTAGTTGATTCCTTTGGATGGTTTCAGTTTTTGAGCTGAACTGACAAGAAGCGTGACCTGGAAAAGAATATACCAAATTGGCTTTTTTTCTAGTTCCCGAGATTTGAGGGGCACTTTGCATAAGGGGCGAGGGTCAAAACAATGTTCCAAAATAGGGACCCGATTATATGAAATAAGGTGGTGGTTACCAGTAGCATACATGCAGACAGACAGTCCATTCATTTCTGCGATTTGGCTTTTAGTTTTTGGAGATATTTTGGGACAAAATCTAATATTTCACTTCCAGAGGTGGTGGGTACCAGGTAACACYACCCCTCCCCCCTAAATCGGGTACCGTGAGATGACAATTGTTTTGCCCTCATCTCTAAATGCAATAGCTAGCTTGTTATTCTTCACTGCACATGAAACGTATAAGGGATATTACATGGGCGCGCAGAGATACGAAATTTATCTTCGAGTGTTGAAAAGATCTCTCACGAGTGGTCTCACTGAGACTAAACTAGACTAAACTTGTCATCATTAAAAGAAACATACTTAGAGTGCAAACAATTAATCCGTGAAACACAAAGTACTAA